CCGAATTTAGTCTAGAAACAAGTACATCAAATGGAGCTCGGAAATATCTCTGCCAAATTTCATCAAGATCGGTTCAGATTTGGACATAGGTATATCTTCAAGCTATTTTGGGTTAATTGTGCACCGAATGGCCAATATCAGACCAATAGTCCTGCATTTTGCGATATCCAACCGAATTCAGTCTAGAAGCAAAAACATCAAATTTGGAGAAAATCGGTTCAGATATAGCTATAGCTCCCACGTATATATTTCATCCGATTTGGTGTTTAAATCCCTGACATTCGTAATAAGCATTCGACAACAATGATATTTGGTTCCAGATATCTTATAGAGCTCGGAAATACCTTTGCCAAATTTTATCGAGATCGGTTAAGATTTGGATATATCATATCCATATATATCCTTAATCCGATTTCCGGTTTATTGTGCAAATAATGGTTAATGTCAGCCTAAAGGGAGTGAATTTCGGGACGTACATTTCCATTTTGTGGAACTCGGCTCCGATATATATTTTTTTAATATAACCCTTCTCGAAGTGATATCATGCAGTCTATAGCAATGTTATTTAGTATAAAATGTTAAAATCTCTGTCAAATTTAGTGAAAATTGGATATTGAATTGAAATTAGAATTGGATATCCCACCCTCCCTCTGAAACCAAACTATAACTGCTCTAACGCCAAATGTTGATAGATGGTATGATCTGCTTAAAATAAATTCTTTTGTTACGGGAGCTCTACTAAATATGCATAGTGGTATAGGATGTCATATAGTCGGCCCCGCCCGACTTTTGATTCTTCCTTACTGTTTAATATCTATGAATTGACTTTTGATATATTCGTTGGGCATACCAGTAAGATTTTATGACATATTATTTTGTAGAATACTGTGACTTGTTACGATGATCTCGTTTGAGGAAAGGTGTTAACCATTTTTTAAAAAAAGGACCGATTGGAATATGTCCCACATTGAAAGCGAGATTTTGGCCTGTTTTCTTTTCAGGGACAAAATATATAACAAGACATCTTCCGTATAAAAATTACAAAAAAACAAAAAAACATTGTTGTTGTAATAAATAAGTGTTTTTTCAATTTTATTAAATTTATTGTTTTTTGCTTTTGTTTGTTAAGTTTTAACATACAAATAAATACATACAACATTTAGTAATACATTTCATACACAAATATTGTTGTTGTTGGTTTTTGAATTTGTTTTCTCTTTGAGTTTTCTGTCACATTCATTGATACATGTATAAGTTATTAACTTAAATTCAGTTTTATTTGTTACATAATTTTAGTTGCTTATATTTATTTATAAATTGTATAACTCACACTTACAAAAAAGACACACCATACGATTGTTTGGGTGTGTGTCTATGGATCGACCAAAATAAGTTGGGTTTTAAAAAATGTAGCGATTAAGTTGTAATTTGTTAAATACTAAGCGTCTTTTATGTATTAAAGGCAACTGATTTTGAATAAATAATAAAAAACAAGGCAATATAAACCAATATCATACTATTCTGGTCGGAATATGGATATTTTCTGCTTGATTTTATTTTTTTCACAACAAAAATCATATTTGGTATATATATAATTTGTAAAAAAAATTAAAACAGAGCATAAAATTGTATTCACACAAATGGCCTAGCCAAAAATTTTCACTCAAATATGAGACTGATTTTCAATGTAGTTATATCATGAACACAGATACAATAGTTGTAATTTTCGATTACTTTCTTATATTAGTATTAGAAAAATATAATAAAACGGAAAAAAAGGCTAATGGATGGGAAATGTTCAGTTCCTTATAGAATCAATGTTAATTAAAGTCCAACGAAGTTGAGATTTGAGTCCTACACCATCAAAACTGTGACACTTTTAGAATATGGAAAGGTTATGAATGAAACAGCTCAATGAGGCTGGCTAAAGGGTTTCAAAAAAGGAACCCAAGAAGAACAGACTGGGGCAAATTCAAATCCCTTAAGTCAGTGTTGAAAAAGGACCCCCGCTGTCTGAAATCGACCTGCGTTAATAGGGCCTCATTTCACTCTATTCATGTAGGAACGCCATAGGGAAAAGGTGGGGGCTTATACGAAGAGTCGTACACTGGCTATACGTTAATGTGGTCTTACCAGTTCTGATCTATGGGTGTCTCGTTTGGTGACAGGCTATTGAATCCAGGAGGCTCATGTTCGTGTCCTGTACAGAATCTCTCAAGAACACTACCCAATCTGCAATGAAGTTTCTGAAAATTTCCAGCCACTGGATATTCTAGGTCCATTTTGAGCTGCAAGGAGTTTGCTGAAACTACGGGTAGGATGGCACTCCTAGCGAGTTGGTCATACTCGAATCCTAGACATATCAATAAGTTGGAGTAGCCCAGGTGAAGGAAATACAATTAGTGATTATATGTCTGCCTTTTTCGACTTCAATTATGTTGACATTAAGATAAATGATAGGGACGCCTGGGCTAAACCTCCTCTTAACTGCCTGGCCAGCTCCAATATGGATGAAGCCACCGGTGCTGGCGTATTCTGCCCCACAATGATCGAACACTTATAAAAAGACACGTGCAGCGTTTCACTTTCAAGAAGACAGACAGGCTATGCAATAGCATAACAGGAGCAGAGACTATATATGTCGATAGTCAGGCAGGCGGCCCATAAAGCTATCGAATCAAGTGCCTTTTAATCAAGAACCACACTTGACTACAAGAAGGCCCTGATTGATATACGTAATTGCATTAAGCTTTGTTTGGGTTTCTAGGCATAACAACATAGTGGGTTATGAGGTGGCTGATGAATTATTCAAGGAGGTTTCTAGTCGATCGATGAGACTGTTAAGCCACCAAAATCTCTCATCGAAGAAAATGGACTTAGAAACCGAAGTAGATTATCTAAGGCCATCTGTTCGGCAATCTCGAGAAGAAGAACAAACTTCCTTCTATCATTTAGTAGGTCTGATCTAAGAATCGCGGTAGGAATATTGACTGGCCACTGCAGTATCAGACATCTTACCTCAAGATGAGACAACAATGTTCCCGACTACACTAAACTTCGCATAAATACCAAATCGGATGCAATACATATGGGAGCTATAGCTATGTCTTAACCGATTTCGATCAAATTTGGCATACTTATTTCCGGGCTTAATTTGATCGTATGTGCAAATTCCATACTAAATTTTGACCGATTATGTCCAATTTCAATAAGGTTCGTCCTTGGGTCAAACAACTGACTTGTGCAAAATTTCATCTGGATCGGGCAATCAACGCGACCTGTACTTTGTTTACAAATAGACATGGACAGACAGACGGACGAACATGGATAAATCGACTCAGAATGTGATTCTATGCAGATCATCAAAGTGGACTATGGGTCTATCTTGTTTTCTTTTGCCTGTTACAAACAAATGCACAAAGACATAATAATCAAAGCACCTTGTGGTGTAGGGTATCAAAAATGTGTGGTATTAGGTAGAGATTTTTCGCTAGACTGTTTGGAATACAAATATAGACAATAATATTATATGAATAAGATGCAGAGTCTACCAAGGAACCCGTTTTAAGCAACAATCCATAACTTTTGACTACATTTTTCTTGGCAAAGCTCTTTCTTACATAACTACAATAGCCACTTAGCAGACAAAGAAAGGATGCCATATTTTAGTGGCGAAACACAGTCCATATAGTGTGTTGCCCAAAAAAAAATTTTCACATGAAACTTTCCGATTCTCTTTCCCACTCATATGGTCAAAGGCATATAATAAGTTGGCATTATTGGTTTGGGCCATTTCGAAACGACTTAGTTAAATTCTAGTTATTTTATGTTGTTATCTTAAACATCTTACAAAAAAGTACAAAAACTTTATAATTAATTATATATATTTTTTGTATTAATAATAATAATAATAAATATCTGACGTTATAATTATAATGGTAAAAAAAGTAACACAAAATACCCCCAACAAAAAAGTTGTTGCTTGTACCAAAAAAAATAGAGTTATTGTTAAAGAAATGCTAGTATTTTTATTTTGTTTTTGTAAAATATAAAAAAACTGTAATAAATACATTTTGTTTTTATGCGACAAAACGGCAATTATTGCATATTATTATTTTCATTAATTTTTATTTTGTTGTATACTATAAAAAGGGATTGTATTGTGTTGTTTTATTTTGTAAACATTTCAAAAAATTTTGTGTATATTTTGTTTGTAGCTTTTGTATGGCTTTTTAATCAAATTTTCTTGTTGCAGACTCCTCTTATTTCAAACAACAACTGTTTATAGGTGAATTTGGTGTGTGTATTTGTTTTTTGTTCGCATATTGGGTTTTTGTAGCTTAGACATATAAGTTTATGTTTTTGTTGAACAGTTACCCAGAAAAGTCTACATACAATACAATGGGAATATTTTTAAAGGGGTAATAGTTTATTTATATGAAGAGAGTTTTTTTGTATTAGCCTCTATTTGTAGAGAAGAAACGGGAAAGAGATTGAAAAGATAATTGAAATATTTAAATATTTAATATTTATTATATTTAATAATAATTGATAATTGAAAACCTAAAATAACAATCACTAATAAAAGGTCTGTAAATTACACAAAATCCGGAAAGCAAATTACAGCGAACTAACGAAACAACTTATTGAGAATTCAAGTAACAAATTTGAGGAAAATAATTGAAATTGGAACTATCAATTCCAAATCAAGCAGTGCCGTATGCCCTCTCTGTATCGCCTTTGTGGCCAGATTGTGAAATATAAATAAAATCTATCAAAAAATATTAGGTAAACCTTCAAAATACTTGTAACTGGACGGTATCTTTATATGGGATTTATACCAAAATATGAAAGAATACTAAGAATTATAGTCCTAAATGTCATCATTCTAAATGTGTCAAGGTGTGACAGCTTGAAAAAATCTGAATTTTACAAAGATTGAAGTCAGCAAAGCACAAATTGTTTCCATTCCATTTCCTAAAGAGACCAGCCCACATTCGTTTTCTCTTGCTAGCCCCCATTTTATTATCTTTTACAAAATGTGGCTTAATCATGACGATTTGAATAATATTCCAATTCAGGTGGATAAACTTGATGATAACTTGTGGTTACAAAATTGTAGGTTCGTCTCACAATAGTTTTGCTTTCGAATTATTTATTTTACTTTTCCATTGTTGAAAGAAACTTTAAATTACATTATTTAATACAGGTACAATTTAGAAACATTCTATCGAAATCATTAAATTGTTTGACGTTATATCCATATTTCAAATTTGCAGACTTTTCTGGAACACTGTTCACATTGTTACAACATTTTCAGGACAATCAAGAATGCTATTCGTTCCAACATAAGGTTTTTAGGAACAGAAACTCCTTCATAAGTTGTTTATTCTTGATTGCCCTCATATTTTTCGCTTGGGTTTCTTAGCCCATTGGCTGCTCTTCCAATTAAGTATTGAAAGCCTTTATGTTTTTTATAATTTTTTTGTATCAAATTTGATTTTGTTTTTACTTCTCTTCTTCTCTGAATACAATACGCTTCTCCTGCTAATAGCACAAAATTTATTATCGTTTAGTATATATATCCTATAAATTTTTAATTTTAAATATCATAATTATTATTATTATTATAATTGTGGTAAAAAATAAACTAAATACTAATGTTCTTTTTTATCTCTCGCACATGTCTTCATCTGGATTTTTATAATTTCTTTTTCGCTCGTTCTCTGGTAAAAGTTTTCTTTATAACATTTTTTTAGAAAAAATATAAATAAAGCTACATAATTTTATTTTTGAGAGGGGGAGGGCGGGGGCAATGTCTGTCAGAATGATTGTGGCATGGTGGAGGAGGAGGGACAAATGTGTGTGTATGTTGATTATATAAACGATGCCGATGCCGTATATAAACGATGCCGGCATTTTGTATAAGCTCATATTTATATTGTTGAGATCGTTTGTTTTGTGGGATCTGTGTGGGTCATAACCAAAGCTCCGACCATTGCTATTAGAGTACGATCTAGCCAAGTTACGGGATTTGGATAAATAAGGCCGCCTTCATAGAAACCTAAATGACCGCCATGTGCTAATTCGATGTAGGCGGTTTTATAGCGAGAAGCTGAAAGAAAGAAAAAAGAGATTATTGTCATTGGTATGTAAGGTTAAGAGTAAGACATAAAATAAAACCAAATACATGTTCTGGGTCTCCTGAAGTCATGATTCCATTTCATGAATTTTTAAACTCATCTCCGACAGAAATAAACAAAAAGTTTCGTTAGGCTCTTTCAAATCATTCAAACCAACTAGACCATGGGCAAACAGGATCTTCGAAGACTATCTATGTGGACAAAATGCAGTGTTGTAAGTGTAGCCCATATAAAATAGAATTGAAGATTTTAATTTCAGAAAAACTTTGGCTACTGCTTAACAGATTAATTAATTTTTTATCCGTATGTTGATGGAGAACCCGATTAGCAGATTTAAAACCTTACACTACGTTACTGCTGCAACAATAACATGGACCTCCCTTCCACAAACATGTATACTTAACCATATTGTCACCCGGTCTGATTAATGACGTGACTTGGCAATCCGTCATTTCTCATCAAAACTGCAGCCTCTCGCTATATACCAGCTGGTCGAATACCCGAGATAAGACCAAACTTCCCAGCAGAGGCAGCGGGATTAGCAAACGAGCGTGATGATCTCCGTCGTACCAACCCTACTGATCCTAGAATTAGTGATTTGACAGTGGAAGTCAACCGGTTGGTACAGGAGCATAAGAAGAAAATGTAGCTAGTGGCAACATTGCAACCGATATGAGTAAGTTGTGGGTAACGGTTAAGTCGCTCTCGAACCCTGGAAAAAAGGATGATAGGACCTCAGTCACTTTTAACGACGTAACGGTGACTGATCCGAAGAGGTGCGTGGAGTATTTTAACCGACAATTTGGCGAGCACCACGAGAGCGACAGGGCGAAGCGAAGAGAACTACGTCGTATCAGCTCTCTTCCCTCCGAGGAGGAACCACTACAGTTTACGATGGATAATGTTGCAATAACGTTGGGCCCAGACGGAATCTCAATGGTAATGTTGAAGCAACTGAATACACCGGGAGTTGAGTATCTATCAAAAGTCCTTAACCTGTCGCTAGCCACCCACATAATTCCCGAAGCCTGGAAAATGGACGGGTGGTCCCGCCACTGAAGCTAAGCAAGGAAGCCAGCGAATGCGAATCATACAAGCCACTTTCGCTTTTGTCGCCAGTAACAAAGACTCTCGAAGCTTCATTCCTCCCCTACATCAGAGGAAGTTATTCAATTGCCAACCATCGACACGGTTTCCGTCCACTACATAGTACCACAACCGCATTGCACGTCATATCCACACATATCAACTCAACCAGAACAGGCCGTGCCATAGAACAGTAGTGATAGCTCTTGATCTATCAAAGGCCTTTGATACGGTCAACCATGCCACGCTGTTCGAGGACGTTGAGAATACTACCCTCCGGCCATGCTTGAAACGTTGGATAGTCAACTATATGTGTGGACGCCAGTCCTACGTGGAATTCCGGAACAAGCTCCTCAAGGCCCTAGCCGGCAGCGCTTGGGGCGCGGATAAGGAAACCTTGTTGACCTCTTATAAAACGATAGTTCGATCTGTGGTTAGCTATGAGGCTCTAGTGTGGTATGTGGGCGTATACGAGTCCAACGCAGTGGAAAAGTATTCAGACTTGCCAGAATGCCGCCCTGAGAACTGCAACAGGGTGCCTCCTCATGACTCCTGTGAACCATTTACATGAGGAGAGTCATCCTAACCACCATATGGTAGAAAGAATTCCCCCCACTCTGGCGTATCAGGAAGGACCTGCATAATCTACAGAGAGAGATGCAGCGATATAAGAGAGAACCTCTAGATCATGAAGCCTATCAAGCGGGTGTGAATAGCATTGATGCAGTCGCAGATGTAGTTAACAATTACAGTATGAATGCCATACTCGGATTCCACCCAGCCCATAAAGGTAGTAAAATTCCTAAACCTGGACATCGAAGAACAACCGGATTAACAGTCTACAAACAAACGTATGCTCATTTCACTGTTGCAACAACAGATTTTAATCAATTAGGCGCTAGCCCACATTTCCCCGATACTTCGTAGAATCTGTAAAATTTTTTGCAGTTGTTTTTAATAAAAATTTAAAAATATTATCTTTTCTCGCAGTCGGTAGGATTCGAACCTACGCTCCCAGAGGGAATCTGATTTCTAGTCAGACGCCTTAACCGCTCGGCCACGACTGCATGTAGATGCTCCATTGTAATTGTATGCCGTGAGAGCGAAGCACAAATAGTGTCTGCTTTAAATAACAAACACAAATACAATTGCATATTTTTAGGCGCCATAAAAACTTTGATGTCAAATGGAATCAATATGACCATTTTTTAATAAATTTATTGTGGTATTTCAAGGTATTTGCAATTTTTTTTTTTTTGAAATCGGGTACAAGGATTATATTCCTATCTGACTTAATGATGTATCATTTACCCATAGCAATAAAAAAGTAATTTTAAGGAGCCTAAAAAAGGGTCTAAAAGTAGTAGTCAAATTTAAGACTCTAAAAATTAAAAATTATTTTGTTAAACACTGCGTATCGAACGATTAGCACGCAAATTGCACTATCAATGTAATTTTAAAAATGAATATTAAACAAACAATTTAAAAATTGGGAAATTGTTTATATGAATCATGGGTTGTAAAAGATCATAAGTATATGCTTAATTTGAAGAAGGGTATCGGAAAGAATATATGATATATGATTGATAGATGTAAGAAGAACTTTAACTTTACTGAAAATTAGACAGAGGACTTACAGTTAAGGCACTCGGCTTCTATTCCATAAAACCAGAATGGTGATGACTTAGGAATTTTTTGAATTTTCTGAAGAATTATCGCTCAATTTTAGGGAAATTACAGATAAAAGATTCCACAGAACAGAAACTAAAAATGAAGCGGTGTCGAGGCTGGGCACAAATGAAATGTCTTGAGGAGTACTTTCCGAATATATGGACCTTATAGTCAAAAAGAATTTCAGACTTAATAATTTTTAGAATTTTCTGAAGAATTATACCTCAATTTTAGGGAAATTGCAAATAAAAGGGTCCAGAGAACAGAAACTAAAAATGAAGCGGTGTCGAGGCTGGGCACAAATGAAAGGTCTCGAGTAGTACTTTCGGAATATATGGAATATATATATGACTATAAGGTCCATATAGTCGGAAAGTACTCCTCGAGACCTTTCATTTGTGCTCCTCAAAGTACTCCTCGAGACGTTTCATTTGTGCCCAGACTTGACACCGCTTCATTTTTTAATATTTTATTCTCGGTTTAAAAGTAGAGTTAAGGGTTTCAAAGTTTTTTCAACGTAAATTTTAATTAGGTTTTTGTTTAGCGATTTCATTTTAAATTTGAAATTGGTACGGAAAATTAGGAAATTTGATGAAAACTAATATAATTTAATTTACCTTTAATTTTTCTCTGTTTTACTACTCCCTCTCTCTCTCTCTCTCTTTATTAATACTTTGCGAACCGGAGAAAAAAATCACTTTGGTTTGTGTCTTTGCTAATTAAATTTAAATGTATCTTGACGGACATGAAAAAAAGTTATTCGTGATGGAATTCAAGCGTGATTTCTTTATATTTGGCTGGAAAACCACAAGTGGCTATCGTTAGAGCACTCCAGCATTTAAATGGGAATAAATCTTTTGTGTCTCGTACCATCGCTCGTTACCCTGATACTGGTAGCGAATCCCGACGTCAAGGAAGTGAAACACAGCAACATCAGCATAAATGGATCGAAAAGTAAAGAAGCGACTAGATCGAAACCCGCATCGTAGTCTCAAAACAGCTAAAGATTTGCTTCGCTTGGCTGAAAGTGGTGAACTGCCGAATTTGGTTTTCTCCGATGAGAAAACATTCGTTGTCCAGTAGTTTGTAAACAACTAAAATGACCGTGTTAACCTGCCAAAGATGTCAGCTGAAAATGTGCACATTCGGTTGGCCACCAGAACTCAAGCGCCGACAATTGTTATGGTGTGAGCCGCCATTACATCAGAATAAATGCCGAATATTATCGCGAAAATATTCTGGAGGGTGTATTAAAGCCTTGGGCACGCAAACATTTTGGCCGCAGACCTTGGGCATTCCAACAGGACTCAGCACCATCGCACTCAGGACGCGCCACCCAAGAATGCTAACAAACTGAGGATCCTCGCTTCATTTCCAGCGAACAATGGCCACCAAAATCTCCGGATACCAATCCGTTGGACTATTGTGTCTGGCGTATTGTGGAAAGCAAGATTGGCACTACAAAGTATTAATGTCTTGATCACTTCAAGCAAGCGCTTCGCCGGGAATGGGCCAAAATGCCGAAGAGCAACGTTGGGGCAGCGAGTGACGGTTTCATTGACGGTTTCGTGCCAAAGGTGACCAATTCGAACAAATCTAAACGTATCCTAAAATTTGATGTTATTTCCGACATTTTTGCTTTCATTCAATAAAATTTAAAAAAATGTAAAAATTATGGTGTTTGACTTTGTTGCAGTTTTTTTATCTCACCCTGTGCAATGGATGAACAAAGCAAACCTTGTGTTCACGGGCACAACCACAACTACCAACTGAGGGATAAAAATACAGAATATGACACATATAAAGACGAGAAGAAAACCTAGCAATTTGAGAAACTGAAACCATCATTTATACATATTTTTAATAAATATACATAAATTCCATCTGCCTCTAAACATCCAATACTTCAAAAAAGAATAGAGGACGAAACCTTAAAATTTAACAGGAGTATGTGATTCCGATTTTTGGGATTCTTAAATATTTTCTATTTATGTTTTGTTTTTACTTACCAGCATATTCTTTAATGGGCACCAACAGTTCTTCAGGTACTAGAGGATCATCTTTGGCGTTTATGAAAATCATTGGTTTGTCAATATTATCTAAATAATTTAATGATGAACTCCATTTGTATAATTCCTGAGTTGAAGGGAAATTAAAAACACGTCTGGTATAAGCCTCATCCAATTCGGGTAGTGTTGCAGCGGCAATGATGTCACGTTCTACTAGATTATGACGTTGACGGCATTCTTCCGACAACAGTACATGGCGATGTTTTAAAATTATGTTTTTCATATTTTCGGTCATAACATACAAATAGAAACGGCGGAAATTTTGCCAATTCAATAGCCATTTTGTGCCTCTGAAATTGAGAGAAAGAATATGAATAAATTATATGAATAATGAATAATTTCAATATCCAAAATGTAGCAAATAATCTAGATCTCGATTTAAAAAATGGACACTAATTTATCTCTAGTGACACTAATTTATTTCTAGTGGCTTAGTAGTTTAATATGTAGTAAATGGAATAAATCAGTAATACTTACTCGACAGCATTGTAACCTTGGCAAATGGAAATACCGCCAACAACATTGATGGCTTAACTCTTTGCTTTTCGCCCAAATACTTCGTTACTAAATTGCCACCAAGACTAAAGCCACAGGCAACAATATGTGAATTTGAATATTTTTGTGATAGATTTTCAACCATGGTAGCAAAGTCATCGGTATGTCCTGGGAAAAACAACAATAGAACACATTAAAAACAAGGTAAAATGTTATTGGACAAAGTAAAACGTGGCTACAACGACCGTTGAATGCAACAATGAAAAATGTTATATCTCCAATTGCAATCGAGTTCACCATAGCCATGTTCCATTGTATATTGACTTCCAACTTACCATATGTGAATATTCTACTCGATGTAACCTGTACACTGCTCAAGGCCCCTATGTGGTTAAGTACCGCACAGCGGTATCCATGGCACTGTGCATAATGGACAAATGTGCGTATGTAAACACTCTCCGAGGTATTACCAATGCCAGGACAAATAGCCACAGTGATGTCATCTATAAAACAAAGCAAATGGATTATTTTTACAATAGCATTGAGATTATTTATTATTATTTTACGAGAATTTTATGTAAATCGTAGCAGTTTGTAAAGCAATGTACTACAACACAGAGATTTGTCAGAAAGTAAAATTATGAAAATGGTAACATTTAATGGATTATGATGACTATTTGTGTTATTGAAGCTTTTCTAATTCAATGACAATATAAAGCTATTGAATATTAAAATCGGACTTCTAAAAATTGAAACCGAAAAAAAGAGTCTAGAGCTCATACACAGTCGGTTGTAAACCATGTCCATGGTCCATTGAGATGTTAATGACAGGTACGTTGCGAAAAGACCTTTGAGCTCTATCTCTCTCACCGCAAAAGAAATGAAACTATCGACAAACTTACTTTCCATAGTTCTTGGTAGTGCTGCATGTTCGTGGGATAGTGAGACTAATATGTCAAGTGATCGATTGAAGTCTGTTGGTTTCCGTATACTCAAATGAAATACAACGACCGTTTTTATATTAAATTAAGAATTCACAAACGTTTATTAAAATCAATTATACGAGCTTAAACTAGTACGCCTTGTCAGGTTGGCTTCGTATCTTCAACTTCTCTGTTGCATTCAAAATTCAGGGTTGTATCCGGGTTGCATGTAATCGTATATTTTCACATGTATGCAACAAAAGGTATCTACTACTACTTTTAACTTGACAACTCGGCCTTTCCTGACCTGAAGTCGTCCTCGGCTTCATCTTCGCTTGAAACATCCAATTCGGGGGAACATTCACACCATTTCTTCAACTTGTCGGAACTGAATACGGAACAGAATTTCCTATTCGTGATGTTTATTCCAGGAATGTCCTCTATCAGGTACCTGTCGTTGCCCAATACTCGTGCTATTATGTATGGACCTTTGTATTTAGGTTCTAACTTCCGGGATTCACCTGTCGCTGGTGGTTCATTCTGTATAAGGATCAAGTCACCTTCCACATACAATTTCGGATTCGAATGCTTGCTGTCAAATCTTTTCTTCCATCGTTCTCGTTCGCTTTTGATGTTTTCTGCGGCCATGATACGTTTTCGTTGATGGAAATTTCTTCGTTTTGTACATCATCTTGTACAGCTGCTAACAATCGGTTTTGTATTAAGTCGGTGGGCTTGTAATCGAAAATCAACTCATTCGGACTGTAACCTGTTGTCGAATTTTTGGTTGAATTGATTGACCATTGTAAAACGTGAAGTGCCGAGTCCCAATCCTTCGGTTCTTCAGTGGTAGTTCGTAAATAAGACAGGATAAGTTGATTGACCCTCTCAACTTGTCCATTGGCTCTTGGTGTACGAACGGCATTCTTAATGTGTTGAATATTGTTTCGATCGCAATATTCCTCAAACATTTTTGACGTAAAAGCTGTCCCACGGTCCGAAATTATTCTTCGAGGTAAACCAAAGTATCCACTAACCTCATTTAAAACGTTGATGACGGGCAATGTCTTCGTATTCCTTACAGCTTTAATAACCACAAATTTCGTAAAGGAATCGGCGATTGCCACTATATGTGTATGACCATGCTTGCTTCTTATAAACGGTCCCAAGTGATCAATATGTACTTGCCTAAATGGTAGCGGTTCGACATTACTAAAATGTAGAGCTCCTTCGTGTTTACCACCTTTTGCCTTGTTGTAGCAACACTCTACACACGCTGCAATGTACTCCTTCATATATTTCCTCATGCGGGGGAACCAAAACGTTTGTTCGACTCGTGAGAGGCTTTTCTCCAACCCGTAATGGCCAATATCATCATGACAGTATTTAGCTATGCGCCATCGTATAGCCTTCGGTATGACCAATCGTAGTCCATTTTTCGTTTTCCGGTATAGTCGATGTTTTTCCAATAAGTATTCAGATTTTATCTGTTTCTCTTGCTCAGATTTCAATTCATTTCGCAGTACTCTCATAATATTCTTTATGTGGTCGTCGTTTAGCTGCATCGTGAGAATCCAATCATCGCTATCAATATTCATTATGAACCCTGCTGGTTCAATCTCCGTCTGTGGCTGATCCGGTGAACGGCTGAGAGCATCAACGTGAGCCATACGTGACCCTTGTCGGTGTACATACTCACAATCAAATTCAAGTAATTTCATCAGCCATCGTGCTACTCGAGGTTGTAATTCCTTCGTTGTCTTCACATTAGTAATTGCGGCACAATCAGTGACGATTCGGAATGGCTTTCCAAGTAAATATATACGGAAACGCTGCACCGTTTCAACCACAGCTAAAACTTCCAGCTCGTAACTGTGATATTTCGATTCCGTTTCAGAACAGTGGCGGCTAAAATAAAACACTGGTTGCCAATTACCATTACCATCGGACTGTAATAACACTCCTGCTAATCCGAGACTGCTAGCGTCCGTGTGCACCTCGTGATCTGCTTTCATATCGTAGATTGCTAAAACTGGTTCACTACACAAAATTTGGATTAAACTTCTGAATGCGTTTTCATGGTGTACGTCCCAACGAAATTTATTCTCTTCGCTCTTTCGTGTCAACATCGCAAGAGGTTTCGTAATGGCTGCATAATCCTTTACAAATTTTCGGAAGAAGTTAGTTAGGCCAAGGAATCGTCGTACTTCTGTTACATTCGTTGGTACCTTAAAATTTCTAATCGCTTTTACTTTTTCTTCTCCAGGTAAAATTCCGTCACGTGTAACTATGTGTCCCAAATAAGAAATCTTTTCGGCTAGGAACGAACATTTCGCCAATCGTAACGTGAGACCACATTTCTTAAGGATATCCAAAAATCTTTTTATTCGGTCCAGACCTTCATCGACTGTTTTACTGGGAATTATGACGTCATCCAGATACGCTAAAACTTCTCCTGGTTTCATAAAGCTTATAACTCGGTTCATCGTTGCCTGAAAAACTGCAGGTGCGTTTACCAAACCAAATGGCATCCGGTTGAATTCATAATGACCATCTGAAGTCACGAAAGCTGTGAACTTTTTCGATTCTTCCTCTACTTCAATTTGGTGGTAACCCATACGTAAGTCGAGTGTGGTGAAATAACGATTTCCGGCGAGTTGTGCAATCTGTTCATCCAGTACAGGCATAGGATGCGCTATACGTACGGTTATTCGATTCAACTGTCTATAATCTATACATAAACGGTGTTCACCATTTCTCTTCTCGACCAAAACAATTCCCGATGCATACGGAGAATTCGATTTCCTTATGATTTCGTTATCCAGTAAGTCTTTCACAATATTTGCCACAATAGGACGTTTGGCAAATGCTAGTCGATATGGCTTGCATCGTATTGGTTCTGGAGTAGTAACTTCGATTTCCATCTTCACTAAGTTACACTTACCCAATTCGCTTGACTTTTCTGAAAAACATTGTCGGTTTTCTTGAATGTTCAACTGCAACTTCTTATGCTCTTCAGATGTTAAGCCTTCGTTGATACTAATCGCATTTACGTTTTGCATCCAACACTCATCTCCTTCAATAATGGTGCGTCGACCTTTTTGGCATAAAACATCTCGACCTAAAAGAACATCATTCGGGATCATAGAATTTTCCACAACATAAAGGTTCACGTCGTAACTCGTCTCATCAATGTCAATTGGCACTTTAACCACCTTTGTGCACTCGTATTTGCCACCAGCAAAGCCATTTAAAACCATACTGCAATTTTCCGTTTCGCCAATTATCATTGCAAAACTTCGTCTGATCAGACTCCGATCACTTCCCGAATCAATAAATGCCTCAAACTCCTTGTCCTTTACTTTGACACGTTTACATAGTATTTCGTTGGACTTTACGCTGTCCCTTATATTGTTGACATTTGTGTTCAGGGTTTTTGTTGGACATTCACTTGCACCGTGTGAAGTCCGTTTGCATATCGTACATCTATTCTTCTTCTGTGGATCTGGGCAGTCTACGGCTTTGTGACCAGTATTACCACAATTAAAACATTTGAATTTATTCACTCTTTCATCGCTTTTCCTTTCTGGGGCAGTTCTATTTTCATTGCTACGTTTCGTCTTATTCGATATCGGGTTCAGCACTCTTCTTACCTCGTTATAACTACAGTATGCGTTGATGTCACTCAAAAGTTGATTACAGGTAATATACTCGTTAGATATTTTCTGCTTCAATCCTTGATCATTAATTCCGTTGACTATATGCCGTGCTATGGATGATTCATTTATATTGCCCCGTTTTCCAATAGCATACATTCTGTAATAATATTCCTGCGGCGTTTCGTCGAACTGCCGTTTTGTCTGTGCCATTCTAATGTGTACATCGGCTGCATTTACATTTTGAGGGAAATCTAAAAGAAATTTGTTAACAAACTGAGGCCAAGACAGAAATACCTCTTGCAGTGAGTCAACCCAATACTTGGCTGGGCCAGCCATTTTCTGTTGCACTGCAAATATAACTGATGCGTCGTCCCAGTTATAAGCTGTCTTCAATAATTCCACACGTCGCACGAATTGTGAAGGATTAATCGATTCTTCAGATGACGGATTAAACTCTGGCAAAAGTTGAATTATTTCCTTAACGTTCCCAAAGGGGTTGTGCTGAACATAACGTTGTGAAGGCTGCATAACTATTTCTGACTGCGGCGGCGCTGAATAGACACTTGTTGCAAATATCGGCGGTTGTAGATATGCGTTGTAGGGCTGCGTTGATTGAACATATCCATTGTTCGGCTGCGTGAACACTCCTGTCGGTGTTGCTGTTGTAAAATTCGAATGTGTCGTTATATGTGTTGGTACGTTGTAGCATGACGTCGCTACATTTTGCGTTGTATTTCGTGGAAATTGAGCATGTCCGTGCAATGAAGGTGTAAACGTTGGTAAACCAGCAGAAGCACACGTGTGGACCGTTGGAATTGTTGACGTAGTCTGAAATGCACCAAAAGAAGTATTCGTTTGAACATACGATGGAATCGAACGTGATTCCGGTAATATTGTCACAACGTTTGCCACGTTTGGCAAGCTAGGCCGTGTGCCTTGCAGGGACATATTACCATCCGGTGTCGAAAACGTGTTCAAAGGGGATGATGCGTTGTTCGGCTCAAATTCTGATTGTCCACGTTGCTCCATAGATGAACGCAATTCAGTTACCATATCTTCCAAATGCGAAATTCGCTCCTGCATATCATGAGGAGATGCGAATCCGTGCAGCTCGCTTTCGTTGTTGACTTCAAGTCGTTCGATCAATTGCTTTTTGTTACCACTTTGAGAAACACCAATTTCTCTGCATTTCGCTTGCAACTGCTTAACCGTGCATTTGTGCAAATTCTCCATATTTCTTGTTGGTAGACGCTTCTTCCAATAAGACTTGTCGTATCCCACTTCTGAGAAAAATGTCAAGTGATCGATTGAAGTCTGTTGGTTTCCGTATACTCAAATGAAATACAACGACCGTTTTTATATTAAATTAAGAATTCACAAACGTTTATTAAAATCAATTATACGAGCTTAAACTAGTACGCCTTGTCAGGTTGGCTTCGTATCTTCAACTTCTCTGTTGCATTCAAAATTCAGGGTTGTATCCGGGTTGCATGTAATCGTATATTTTCACATGTATGCAACAAAAGGTATCTACTACTACTTTTAACTTGACAAATATTTTAAGGTAATGGAGGGAAGTATACCTCAACGGAAAATTTTCGACTATAGAAGGTATGAAATTAACCAACGCAGGGCCTTTATATAATGTCAAAGACTTGAAAACCAGACATATAGGACTTTTCAAGTGTCAAAGGCCTGTATTGGAATAGAGCCGGCACCCATGAGGGAAACGTAGGAGTTTTGAGAAAAAGAGGTTTTGTTTTTGTTGTAATAACAATACATTCTTCGTGTTCTGTTAATCAGGTTCTTCCTCCAACTAGAAATTTAAAATTTCGGTTGTCTTCATAGGATGTAACGCCGGAGCTCATCACGCTCATTTGTTAGTCCCACTGCTTCTATTGGAAAATTTGGTCTTATTTCATCTATTCCAACAGCAGTTATATAACGAGTGGCTGAAGCTCTAATTATGTCATGGTAAATCTTTTTTGCTAACCGAACATCAGAAGGATTGGAAGGTTGGTGAATTCTCTGGATGGTGAACTCTTTGAATTATGACCAGTGATCTCTGGAGAGTGCAGCGTTCAGAGGTTATGAAATCGGGCCGTCTTTTTTATTAGGATTATAAGGATATTTTCTGAGCCAAGGGAAACTGCTACACTCACCTCTTGTTCGGATGGGAGCATCTTCGTTTCCCGTGCATCATGTGGAGCAATCAATCTGCTCTACCACATTAAGCACCTCTACCTCGGCATTTCCACACTTGACTCCTACTTCCATACGTTCCATGTATGGGTCACTAGAGACTAGTTCAAGCGAGATAAATCTGTAATGAACAGAATGGTGTAGCAGGAACACTTATCCCTCAATACATTGTAACCCTATCGCTATAATCTCGCAACCAGGCTAGAGCGGAACAATTCCTAAAATCCTTCCATCCTCTCCCCTGCACGAACATGTATACACTAAGTTGGCAGCAGCTGACCGAAACTGCGATGTTGTTGTTTCGTGTCAATCCGGTGTCGTAGAACCCGCTGCTGTGGGGTTGGGATGATGTATAAGCTTGGAGATGTTCCTTCAGAGTAGTTCGATGGATTTACAGATTGATGAGACTGTCAAACCACCGATGTCACCTTTTTCAAAAAAGCTCGCACCGAAGTCAATGTCAGAAGATGACACTTGCAAATCGGTCGAAAGGTATCCAAGGCCATCTGGTAGTTATATTGACTGGCCACTGAAGTAAGAGGTAGAGTAAGAGGCAAAGAAGATTGAACACCGCGTTGTAAAATTGGAAACAAAGGCTATTTGGTAGGTGGGGCATAGAAACTATTACAGGTCTTACCATTAACAAACCCTACGAAAACACCTCTACAAACCTTTTTTTCTAACCTATCTCTAATTATTATTCCTAGGATAAACACAATAGCCTCTGAATGAGACAGCTGCTGATTTCTGTGAATCTGGGACCCTCAAACTAATTTGATATAAGAATGTTGCTAAATCGACTGGTCGATGACAAAATTCTTCATATCACTCATTTACTCAAAGAGGGTCATATTTCCAAAAAATCAATTTAGAAAAAGCATTGTAAGTTATTGATGGAAATTTGACTTTCCGTATTAAAAAGATTATTACACAAAAAGAAATATGACTACATAGACAATTATTTGCAAGGAGGTCACCAGTAGTGCGATTCTCTAACTCATTTTTTGAGTTACCGACAAAAATCGGTAACTTTGAAACCCAAAAATTTGATATAAAAAATAAGGTAAAATTGACAACATTGGTATCTATCGGTAGGTCTTAGCGACTACTTCGATTTCGTGGCTAATTTCTTGATAAATTTCGTTAATTACCGAAATTATATATTTAAGTTCTGTATTAACTCATATACGGTTTTTTTAACGAGCGATATAATGTCTTTTAAATATACATTTTCTTCCAACGACCTTTGAAGAGTTTCCCAGAACACTTTCCTTATCTATTTCGTCCGTCTCTTCTATGCAAACATAATTATGGGAATTGTTTCACATTTTGTGTCCTATTTCACATTTTGTATTGTTATTCTTACCTTCAAATTCTTTTAGCGGTTGATATAAATCGTATGTCAACGTTGAACCATCCTCCAGGGATAGGTAGACACGTTCACCCAAAGGCCATGGACATTTGACACGTCCCACTATGCTGTGTAGAACGGTTTGAACATGACCGCTAAAACCCCACAGTCGTGTAGGAACATATCTGAAAAAAAAAATGAAAATGGGAAAAGAAACAAATGTTGAGACCATACATCCATTGTTTGAAAGAGGTGTGTAAGCATGAATATTTAAAAAGGATAAATGGCGAAAAATAGTCGAAAATATTTTATTACTTTAATAATTTAGGTAACCCAAAAACATTAATGGCAATACATTTTTAATAGAGTCGAGCAGCACGCATATTTTGGTTAAAGAAATCAAAAGAGAATTATTACGATATTATTGAAAAAATCATATGAGAATTTGAAACAGTAGGACTTTAGTTTCATGTCATAACTTTAATATGAGTTAAATTTTAAAATTGATTTAAAAATGTTTTATACCCTCCAGTATATTATTTAAATTCATTCTTTGCTGGATTTCGAGCAGGAGTTCCCCTGCGAGTAAAAAAAGAGAATATATATTTCGGATCTGCATAATATTCTATGTCGATTTAGCAATGTCCGTCTATCTGTGGAAACCACTCTAGCTTCCGTACGAAATTTTACTCAAATGTGTTTAAGGTCTGCAGGACTTATGATATTGGGCTATATAGGTTTACGTTCTGGTATGACCTCCATAAAACTGTACCAACGTGTTTAAGGTATTTTGGGCACTTCAGTCACAATTCCAAACCGAATTTGATCTTGTTATTGGCAGAATGTGTTCCCATTATGTAGGAAACATTCTTGTCTAGAGGTCTCAATATAGGTCTAAGTTTTGGCATAGTCTCCATAAAATTGTACCTTCAGATAATCGGTATTTTGATGATTTCTGACATACTTTTATCAGGAAATCTTTTAAATGTGACATTTGAAGTTTCTAATGGAAACTTCAGAATATTTCTCATACAGGTCCAAGTCTTCGTATAGCCCCCACATAAGGGTACGTCCCTATAATATTCGGTATTTTGATGATTTTAGCGACGTTATCCACCGGAACTGTTTCAAATTTCGTATTGTAAGTACGTAATGGGTGCCACGGCCTGTGACCGAATTTGTCTATGCTGGTCCACATCATCGTATATGTCCCATATAACGGTACCTCCCTTTATTCGATATTTTAATGATTTTAACCACGTGTTCATAGGCCCCAATATAACGGTAACTCCCTATATTCGATATTTTTGATTTTTTCAACGGATTTTTTTTGACATTTTGCAAATTCCTTCGACATGGTGGAGGGTATTCTAAGTTCGGCATAGCCGAAATACCACTTTTCACTTGTTTTTATACGCTGAGAAATATGGCTAGAGAGGGTATATGTAATTTGATTATACCCTCAGCCATATGGCAAGAGAGGATATATAACATTTCACACTTCCAAAACGTGCCTCATCAAAATAACAGTTTTAGACCCCAGGTCTCTTTGGTCCAAATACGTTTCAGGACATTTGGAGTCGATATAAGAGAACCGGATGCCTATTTCGGATTTTATGATAGTTTTCGTTCCTCAAAACATTGACCCTTTGTGGGGGAGGTACCAGAAGGAATGGTCCGATCCCTACTATCTATATAACAGATCTTATGTTGATGGAAATATTGAGATGTGCCAAGTCTGAATGGAATCGGGCGTTTATTTTTGGGTTTGATGAGCTTCATGAATATTGCAAACGTTGACCCTTTGTGGGGAAGGTGGTAGAAGGAGTCGACCGATATATTCCATGTTCATACCAGACCTTGGGTTAACAAAAACGTTGTAATGATTGTACTTTGAAGACAAACGGACACTTACATCACATTTTATAAGAGTTATAATTATACAAAACGTTGACCTTTGTGGGGGAGGTACTTTATGGAGTTGACCGATATTGTCCATTTTCGCACCTGTCCTTGCACTGATGCAAATTATAGGATATGCAAAGTTGGAGCAAAATCGGATTATCCTTTCTCTTCTTGTGCAATAAATTATTTTTTTAATGATGACATTTTTCGGGGAGGTACCAGAAGGAGTGGACCGATGTTGCCCATCTCCAAACTCGATCTAAGTTTTACAATATTATTACGATGTACCAAATTTGGATGAAATCGGATACTCCCTTCGAGAGTCATCGTGCGCACCAGCCAGAAAGACGAACGGACATCGCTAGATCGACTTTGGTCCAAAGAGACCTAGCGTCTAAAGCTAGAGAGAGCATTTATCATTTGATTATACCCACAGCCATATGGCAACAGAGAGTATATATATCATTTCATACGGCCAAAACGTGCCTATTCGAAATAACGGTTTTAGACCCCACGTTTCGGCCGTATCAAATCAAATCAAAAATCTGTAGACATATGGCTGAGGCTATAAAGAAGACTGAGAAATTAATGACAAATTCAATACTGCTGTTAAAACATAGAACAAACGTATTTTTGAGCTTTACTCATTGGCGCCAAAATGTATTTAATAAACCCTTAATTTGGGTGAAAATATCCCTCAATTTAAGTACTGACGACATGCTTAAAAATATTTCTTAGACCCAAAAAAATTCTCAAATCTTAGGTAACATGGAAGGTAACTAGTGTTTCGATAAAAAAAACGACCTACAATCTTCATATAAACAGCATATCATTTTTCGAATATCCACCGGCTTTCTCCATTCTGTCAATATCAAATAAACCTTAACTTACTGTTCTCCGACAATTTAATTTCTATCGAATTAAATTTTTCCTAAGAGGCATCACACCCGCTTATTTAAAAAGGGACTCTACCCCTGTAAATAATTCGTATGTGTTTTTTTTTTTCGTATCTCTATCAAGCGTAACCTAATTTCGAATGTATAAAAACCTGCCATTCAATTTTATGTAAGACAATTACCAAATAAACGACCCACTAAACTCATTACCTCCCAACCATCCAAATGAATCATCAACAGGTTGATTTTTTTTTTTTTTTGTAAATTCACACAAAATTATTTTTTTTTACAATTCACCTCTCTTCTTATATAATTACAATTGTTGATTGTATTGTTATTGTTGTTGCTGTCGTTTTCACAGAGCACGTGTAATTTTAATATTTAATGTAAAATGTGATGTGAGGATGTACCTTAATTGCTTTTTGAAAAAAGGGGACACACACACGCAATCGCCATAAAAAAATACCTTGTGAATTAGATGTTGACACATGTTGCATGGTCATGGGACCCAAGAACTTTGCCTAAGGGTCAAACTAATGGAGTTATTGAAAATTATAGGTGAATACTAGTGCAGCCGCGATTCAAGTAACTAATCAATAATTAATGTGTAATATTCGACAAATGTTGCAAAATACTTATGAGGTGGGGAATGTTCCATATGTGGATGAAATTTATTTTTTTGGTCCCAATGCCAATGAAAACAATTTAAAAATTTCTTCAAAAAAATATTTGAAAATGATTCTGGATTTTATTTTCTCCTCAAAAATGTATGTGGCCGGTAGCATAGATTTTCTTATTATTGACGTTTTCTTATAGAATCTTTTTTAATACAATCTCCCTTTAATTCGGCATGCTTACTATTTCATTTTCAAATTACATTTTGCTGCTAGTCATTACTGTTCTCCTATTTGGCTTCTTGCCTAAATTACTTGCAATTTGTACGACACGACAATAAGTAGTCATAGAAAATACTTCATCATTTGGCAATAAAAAAAATTCACTTAGCGAAGCCCACAAAAAAACTTTTTGTATAACTGTAATAACGACAAGAAAAGAAAAGAGGGTGGGCGTAAGCTATGCCGGACTTTTTACTGTTTTCATTATGAGAATATGGAGAATATTAAATATCATTAAATCTTTCAATTCTGATATTTGATGCATTACATTTTGTGAGCACTAATCGAAATTTACTAGGGGCTATATGAAAGGCGGACTTATTAGTGAATTTTCGGAGGATATTTATTCCCTACACCACATAGTGGTAAGGGTATTACGTCTTTGTGTATTTGTTTGTAACATTGAGATGGTGGCGAGATAGACCTATAGTTACTTTTGAGGACCTTCATAGAATCACTTTCTGAGTCGATTACTGCATGTCAGTCCGTCTGTGAACAAAATGCAGGTCGCATTTATAATCCGATTGAGATAGAATTTTCCAAAAAAAATATTTGTTTCGCCCAAGGACGAACCCGATTGAAATTGGTGAGAATCGGTTCAAATTTAGATATAATACACACATATATATCTTCACGCCGGTTTCGGGTTAATTGTGCACCAAATGGCCAATATCAATCCAAATGACCTGAATTTTGGCACATCCTACGGAATTCAGTCTAGAAGCAAGTACATCAAATCGGTTCAGATATAGCTATAGGTTCCGATTCGGGGTTTAAAGTCCCTCACATAAGTTTAAGTCAAAAATATGCACCCCACAAGAATAATATTAGGTACCAGATATCAGATACAGCCCAGAAATACCTCTGACAAATTTTATCACGATCGGTTCAGATTTGGATATAGCTCCCATATATATCTTCAATCGATTTCAGGTCAATTGTGCACCAAATGACCAATATCTGTCCAAAAGTCCTGAATTTTGGTACATCCGACTGAATTCAGCCTAGAAGCAAGTATATCAAATTTGGAGAAAAACGGGTCAGATATAGCTATAGCTTCGATATATATGTTTCATCCGATTTGGTATATAAGTCTCTCACATTCGTAATATTCATTCGACAACAATGATATTTGGTACCAGATACCTTAAAGAGCTCGGTGTCAAGGAAGAAAACAGCAACATCAACAGAAATGGTTCGAAAAGTAAAGAAGCGATATGATCGAAACCCGCGTCGCAGTGGACGAAAAATCGCTCGTGAGCTGAACATATCGCAATATTTCATTCAGCAAATATTGCAAAATAAGCTCGGGGTGAAGCCATTGCAATTCCAAAAAGTGCAAGAACTTACACCGCCACAGAAAGAAAATGGACTCAAAAGAGCTAAAGAGTTGCTTCGCTTGGCCGAAAGTGGTGAACTGCCCAATTTGGTTTTCTCCGATGAGAAAACATTAGGTGCCCATTAGTTTGTAAACAACAAAAAAAAGAT